AACAGTTGAGGCATTTAACAGCCAAGGCACACTTGTTTGAAACCAGCTCATTGGTATTAAGAAATTAAGAAGGGCTTTACACCCTGCAGTAGAAGTGGATTCAGAACAGCTAGTTAGACACAATAATGAAGTCCGGGCTCATTGTACTGAAGCATTGTGAATCAATTCTTTACAATCTTGTGTTCAAATGTTACTAACCTGAAATGTAGCAGCAGGTGTTCTTCAAATGGACTCTGAAATACTGAATTCTTCCACTTTTTGATTGGGTGTTTTTGGTCAATTTAAAGAAAATCATAAACAATAAAAACTCATCAGCTTTGTGTTTCTGGAACCTATTTACGTACATTTTTGAACCATCTCGTGCCTTCAGACTGATTCTTTTGGTACTTGTGGGCAAAAGCATGAAAAATGTCTTCTGCGTGAAAAATGAGGTTATGGAAGGACAGAGGGACAATGTAAACAAGGTGGTGTGTAGAGTATGCCACATGTCGTATTTCAAATAGCTCCAGTAACTATAAAGTAATTTACCTCGGTGACCCACCCTGCGCGTGACGATGAGCTCGGCCTCAGACAACCCGTTGTGAACTCGCTGGAAAGGTGTAAAACTAAAGCTTTGTGGGAAACATTTTACTTTCACAAGCGTGCGGTGAAATCACCCTCAGGCCTGTTATCCCCCTCTCTCTCCCCCCCATCCCCCACTTAAACCCCCTTCCAGAGAGAGGATTACAGGGCATCTTTTAACCGTACCATCTGCTCTGAATTGACTCTCAATTAACGCTGGCAAATGAGAAAGCTGTCGGAGCGGAGAGAGCGGTGCAGATTGAGATGTAGCTTGGGTGAATGTTGGGTCAAAGCATGTTATTGTCAGCTACTAGCTGAGGTTCAAACAAGGACACAAAAATCCATCTAAACCAGCCTGGAGTCTTTCCAACCTCAAATCAAATGGACTGAGCAGTCATTTCTCAGTACTACCAGGGGATATGTTGGCATGACGATATCATTATTGACTTGTCAACATGTTCATTTCAGATATCTGTAAATCAGTTTCAATGTATCTCTAATGTAATTATGAAAATGAGTTATCCCTTCTACACTTGTATGGATAAAGATGAAACATATCTTACATAAAATGTCAAATGTAACAGAAACACACGATCTGGACAGCAACAGGCACAAACCAATAGAACTATCTAACTCTGAATTTAGCCAAGTCATAAGATCATGTTCTGATACACAAGTCACACGTACACACATACCCACACACTCTTTCCTCTTAAGAGACCAGTTTGTCTGTCCAGGAAACTTCTAGGAAACAGTCTTTATATAGCACACATGTTGTAATTGCTCAGTGTGTTGATTGCTCATTAAAGGATGATTGGGATTTTATAAAAGAACTGCTCAGAGAGAAATAAACAGATCCTTGATTCACAAGCCATAGTCTCTGTCTGATTCTCCAAAAAGAACCTACATTGTATGGTAAAAATTTTAACAGAACATTGGCTTTGAATCTGAGGTCCACTCACACATTGAGTCTCTCTCCTCGCTGGGGGAGCTTGACAGTAGAGTCAGAAGGGAGGAGAGGACGCTGTGTGTTTCAGTAAATTTGTTCTGAGGGTTAAAAAACAATCAGAAATAAGCAAATTATAAGTGTAAACTTACTAAAAAGATAGGAGTGAGTACGCTGAGAGTGGTGGAATGTCAAGGATGACTTTTGAGTGTTTATGCCAAGAGGATATGTTATTAAGTGAAAGGCACAGAGTGGCAGAGTAGAAATAGTTCTCTGGCCCGGAGAAAAAGTTACAGCTGAGAATAAAGCCAGACTGTAAGCTTCACACTCATTAACTGAAACACAGAAAAAGACTAGTTCTTAGTGTAAATTTTAAGTGAAAAAGTGTTGCAGTCTCTATGAAGTTGGGTATTATTAACATATCTATTTCAGTCAGTTTAGACTAGAGCTACGTTAAGTAGCTGTGATGTGTAGCGAGGGAGTCAGAAGACAGAATAAACAGATTAACTCTGTTTCAGATTAAGAGTTAATAAGAAAAGAAAAAACATTCTTTGTCATTGTTATGTATAGGCCTATGTTTTTGTGTGTACGTTTCTATATGTGTAAAAGAAGAGTGAATTCTGTATGAAAGGGTTTAAAAGCAAGAGTGACTGACTGTCCACATGGGAATAAGTGGTTACGCAAATGTAAAAACAAAAGATATGTGACTGTGAACATTTTTTAAATAGGTCAAAGGGGTAAAATACCTAGTTAAAGAAAAAACAATGTTTAAAAATCCTCTGGCGGTGGAGTATGCAAACCAAAATAAAAATGTTGAAGGTTTTTACTATAAATTTGGTTCAAACTGCACATTTGCATTTTTAATCAAAAGTTGCAAAGTCCTGATTCTGCTCAACCCTGTTCCTTTTCTTTTCAGGGTTGTGCACTCATGGTCCTCTAACTCGGCTGAGACTAAATGAGTGCCTAAAATATGCCTCCAAGTGGACGGCCCAGGTTCAAGCCCGACTGTGGCACTTTTCCCTCTACATGTCATTCCTCATTCCTGTCATTTTTTTCCGATGTCCTACTCCATCCACCGTCCTTTTTAAATTAATCATAGCATGATTTGTTGCCTTCAGCGGTTTTCACCAAGCAGCAACGTCCGGTGTTGAAAAATGAAGTCAATGGCGAAGTCCAATATCCTGCAGTTCATCGAGTGTCCACTTGAGGCTGACTGCAAGAACACAGGAAGTCACATACACACCACATTCAAAAAATAATTTTTACAGCATTAATTAACATGTTTACAGCCTGGTTCAAAAACGATAATGGTCTGATTAGTTATTGTCATCACTGGCACACACAGGTCAGGGGTGAATATTTTAAAAACGGCTTCATTTTCATTTTTTGAACAATACGTGTTATCCATAGTTAGGCGTGTAGTTGACATGATTGACAGGTGGGTGCGATATAACTGTTTACCAAGAGGCTTAAAACACGCCTCAGCTCTCAGTCTGTCGTTAGGTTGACTGAAAGTTAGACTGAGACAGGATTTCCAACATGGCGGCTGCTGCTGATGAGCCTCCAGAGCCCCCTGCAGGAAACAGATGGCTGACGTCACTCAGGCTTTGTCCATTCATACAGTCTATGGTTTTCAGATATACACTCCTGAAAATATCTAGATGATTTCAGGAGGACTGCTCCGGATATTCTCCTGACCTAGCACCTCACACCGGGTGTATGTTGTATTTACAACTTGTAAGAATTGAAATATAGATATTTTTAAGCTCTTTGAATACATTTTTAATGGTAGACGTTTACTTTATTTCAATTAATTTACAGATATCTACAGTTAATCCCATCTCTAGAATCAAGAAATGTAAAATTATTTCATTTGATATTGTATCTAAAATCAAATTACAAACTTGTCGTCTTGGATTTCTCACAATAAAGAAATTGTGAAAACTACAGTACAGTTGATCTCTGAGACTATACTCTGAATGGGTTGTTTTGCAGCGCTTGTACAGCGTATTGATGGTAAACACCCTCAAACGACTTCCTCATTGATCAGACCTCAGTGTAGCAGAGGGTCAATTTGTGTGCGGCCTTCGGCTGCTGCACTCTGACTTCCGATTAAAAACAGGACTCAATATAGGCCTGCAGAGTGGCCCTGAGGGACTCCGGGAACTGTAGTAAAGTTACAGATATTGGCTTTGTAACACATCAGCTGTTGGATGCACACACTCTTGTCTCATTCACACCCCTCACACACCCCCTCCCTCTCTTTTGTTTTCGCTCTCACATGCACATGGACAGACTTCACACTAGTCACACAGCTCGGAGTGCGAACAGCTGGTCAATAGGCCTCGACTCATCTCGTCCCAGGGGTCATAACCTCTGTGGTCAAAGGGCGGATGAAGTGTGCCACTCTATAGACCCTCGACTGGGGGGCAGGTGTCAGGCTAAATAATACGCATCATCCCCCAACATACAGACGCACACTTTGTGGTAATTGGCAACCAAGGCAGGGAGAGTTTGCTGGTTCACATTACAGTGGTGCTTGAGGATCAGTGGGACTATAAATAGTTCATGTAATGGTAACACCAAAGTTGTAGTAACATAAGAAGTTAATAGAAGTAGCATAGTCACAGAAGCAGCACTAAAAGTACTGATACTGTGTCTAGATTAAAAGTGAACATGATTTGAACTCTGCTTTGTCTAATGAAACTAATTTAGTTGAAGTAAAATCTATCAGTACTGAGGTAAATTTCAGACAGAGGGCAGGTGCCTGTTTAATGGCTATATACCTGTATTTAAAAATGTCATATCACATGATAAATGACCAAATATAGGCGAACAACATGGCCATTTCCCGTCACTCATTGTAAAAGCATAAAGGCTGTTTTTAAAAAGGATCATTTTGTAAAATTGTGACCAAAGTGAAAATCGTTAGGCCATTATTCAACATTTACCAACATACTTGATAATTCACTTGCGACCCCTTAAATTGACTCCAAGAAACAGCATTCACATAAATATTTTTGTATGTGAAAATGGTAGAAACACACACAACCAAAAGGTCAAGTTAGCCAAAATGGGGCTTTAAATTCAAAGCTTCAGTCCAAGAATGGCAAATGGCACATACATGCGTGTTGATTTTGCTGATTAGGCAGGTGTTGTGCCTGTAAAAGCTGCATAATTACCACCATAAACTCTTTTTAAAGAGTTATTAAGCAATAAAGAAGACGATTAAATGCGTTTGTGGGGTTTGAATGATGGGTTGATCAAAACTGAAACTCAACAAGAATAATATATTTCCTTTTTTGTGTTCAACCTCCTTTTTATCCTCATATTTTTTTTACTTTAGAGTTTGAATGATAACGCACTAGTTACGTTTCTGATGCAATACCCGAGCGGAGGTATCAAATCTACGCCAGTAGGACGGCAGATGTTCGCCCTGTTGCCTAGATACGAACGCGGAGGGGCGGCGCACTCAGGAGTCCTGCAACCGAGTGAAACTGGGCTTTCGATACCGGCCATTGTGGCTCTTGCGTCACTATTCTCATCGCGGAATGACCTTCCCCCTTGCTTGAGCCACAATGTCGTCGTTTCCTTGACGCTGTTTGAAGAAGCACTGGATGTGAAAAAACAGCGCCATTTCTGTCGGCGTCCATGATACATACTGCGATGCTACCGCAGCGGATTCCAGAGCTCCAGCTCGGATCGGCAGCGGGAGAGAAGTAGCCGCTCCCCTTTCGCTGCACGGCAGGTAAGAAAACCAGCATTTTAAGCGGTATTCCAGTGTTTTTCACATCGGATTGTGAAAGTGTTTCGTGTAGTGTAGTGACTATGACGATATGGCGTACATTTTTGAAGGGAAAACGTCTACTAGCTTACCGTGGGGGCAGCCGCTCCTCCTCCTCCCCGTCATTGCCATAACAACAAGCCGACTTAAGAAAGCCAGCGTTGACTATCCTGTGTTTTTATTCTGTGAATAACAACGTTAATGACGTTACAGTGTACTGACATGTCCCGGTGTTACGTTTAGACTCGGCCCGACCTGCGTGAGTTGCTGTTAGCTCGCTAACTTTGAACCGAGGGGCTCTAAATGTCAGACATGAACCGTGTTGCCCGTTTAACTCTTATCTCCATGGAAACGGGGAGATCTGTAGATTAATATCCTGCCCGGCTTGAGTATGGTGTGTCGATGATTAAACACAATCATGACAACAGACTGAAACATGACAGGAGACGAAGAAGAAGCTCTCGGCAGCTAACTTGGCTTAGCTTAGCTGATTCAGCTAAAGGTCGGAGGTCCAGCTATAACCTTGTCTTTTTGACTGCAAGTAAATGGAATAAATACAGATAAATGAACCGCGCTATTAACGCAAATCACATTGCATTATTCTGCTCTGCTTCATGTCATAGTTGCCTTGAGTAGTGGCTTACTGGGTAAACTTATGAACAGCTGGTCAGCCATATTTTGCAATTATCAGTGACGCTAGCTCACATTTCATTTTAAAGTTGTGCATCTGTATTTATTTAACTGACACGTAATTATTATACTGTAACATGACTGTGGAAATGGTGTGCTAAGCCTCTTATCTTGCCCTTTTGACGTCTCTTACGGGAAACCTATAATATGCCCATTGTGGAGTGACGGCCGGGCCAACCAATCAAATCGGTGCAGCCTCCATTTGCTCTTCACGTCGGTTCACTAATCCACTGCTGCCATATGACACACATGCACTTGACAGCAAGCGTTTCCCTGCCCCTTGACAGCACATGTATACAGATTATTTCGTGCAGTTATTGGGTATGTCATTTGCTCAAATTAAGACCGATTTGATTTGGTTTCTTACTATCTAAAAAGTTGGTGCAATATTAACCTTAAAAACAAAAAACAGTGCAATTATATAATGTGAAAAATATGTGTGCAATAACCTCAGGTGCAATAAGAGATAATAAGTGCAATAAGAAAACATATTTATATTTTCATTTCATTGTACAGTGTTCCCTTTGTTATTTTTTTGTATTATATCTTCGCTTTAATACAGTGTATAACTTATTACACACTTATAACTTATTTTTACTTTGACTTTTTTTGTATTTTTTTCTTATAATGCTATTCTATTTTATATATAATTGTAACTTTTTTTGTAGAAGCTGACTCAGGGAGAAACGCACAAGAATTCCAATGTACCTGTACTGTCCTGTACCTGTCAAAAATGATCACTATTTGGCATCATTGTGGAAAGTGAAGCGTCCTGTTTTAGTGTCTATTGCAAAGCCTTGATGTCAATTCAGGTGTTTCAAAATGAGGTAGACATTGCACATGCACAATCGAGTTATTCAAATATTTGAGATACCGTCACACAAACATAAGAAGCCAGAGTGTGCTTAATGAAGGGGAAGTGCATACACAACCATGGTTTAAAGTGAAACCCAACCTATATTATCTGGCTGATATTGGCCTCCCATGATATTTGTTTATCGTTGCAATTATGTGGCAAGGCAAAGCTACTTTACAAAACATGTTGTGCAACGACAGGGTTGTGTTGGTGTCATTATGTAGTATCCCTGCGCAATTCATCGTAATTTTTGCGTTTTCATGATATGAGCATTCACACTAAGCACACCGTGAACATCTGAATTTGTCACAAAAAAACAACTTTAAATATAGCCAAGCAATGTTTTCTCTCAGCATGTACATTTTACCTGTTGGATGGAGGCCTGATAATGTCCATACTTTCAAACCATTTTTTTTTTCAGTTTTTTTTTTGGGGGGGTTGTGCCTTTATTTTAGGGTTAGGACAGTGGGTAGAGCACTCATCAGCTACACTCAGATTATTTGGTAACATTTATCATTTCCTGATCTAATAAAATGATTCGTGATCTGATCCAATGGAACATAAATGCCTTATTAACTCAATTAAACGTACTAAAACAAATTTATCTAAAAGAAAAACACAGTTTATTATTTTGGCCTGGAAAAAATATGTTTGGCCAAGTTTTTGAATCTTCTTGCCACCTTGGACAGTGAGTCAAAAAGTACATTTCGGCCCTGGTCCTCTCTCAGGAGCATTTTAAGTTGCTTGTAAGAAAAGCTTTGAAAGGCCAATAAAACGTATTTCGTATTAAAACAAACTGATATGCTTTGGTAAGATTTGTCTTGGCATTTGTCCTCCGTTTTTTTTCTGTCAGTATCAATGAAATAGTAGAATTTGCATTTCTAAAGTTAAATACTTTTTCCCCCTTCACCCACTTTCTAATATACAAAGAGGCTTTGTTCTTGCCGTTTGAGGGAGGGGTTGTTGTGAATAAAGTCCTTGACGTCTCAATGTTTTTCAAAGTTATGAATGCATCAATATTAACGATTCTTACTTGTTTTGTTTCAGGTTGTGCCGGTGAAGTAAGAAGTAACACCAGTATGGACTCTTCCAACTAAGACGCAAACACACTGTGTGTTTTGCTCAACAGCATAAGCCATGCCTGACGAGTAAACCCCCTTTTTTTGCTCAAAGCAATAAAAAAAAAAAACAGAAAACATCCTACATGCCTCCCCATGTAGAGCCCCTTCAGTGCATCCTGCTGGAGTGACTGCCCCCTTTCCCAAGGTTCTGCGTCATCCTCTCTCCGTACCCTTCTCCACCGATCACCCTTCAGTAACTTCCCATCACAATGCTGCTCCACCTGAGAATGGCCTATACCTGAGGTCCCATGCGTCCAGTGAGCACCGATTCAGACGGTCCTGCTCCTCCTGAAAATCTCTCTTGCCCCTACCCCCTCGTGGGCCCCCTGCCTGCCTCAGAGATGTCCCTGCTCCAGTCGCTGGGTCCAGTGCAAAGCTGGCTTGGTCAGGAGCTTGAGAAGTGCGGGATCGATGCCATGATTTACACCCGCTACGTTCTCAGCCTTCTCCTGCATGACAGTTACGACTACGACCTGCAGGACCAGGTGAGGCCTTATTTTGAGTTAAATGCAAAGTCCAGAAATTGTTTTCTTTGTCTATATTTGGTTGAACTATCTTTAAACGAGTGGAGAGTGAATTTTACTCTAAAAGGGAAACAAGTATGTCAAAACAATGGTCTTGTTGACAATTTGTGTGGAGAGAACATTGTGGCTGCACTTTAACATCATGGCACATGTATCACTGAATTATCCTCCTTTAATTCCAGTGATTTCTTTCACAACATTAACAAGAGATGTTCCGTATTTTCCTTCCTGATACTGATATGATTCTGATACCGGAATTTGAGATGCATTAATACAAAAAATGTGTCTTGATACCAGTTGGACCGCCCCAAGCTATAACTTGGCGCCCTGTCAAGATGAATATGCGACGGCGGAAGTAAAGTTGCAGACCATTTGAGCATTTTTTTTTTTTTAACTGCATGGGATAGTCATCTGCAATGGATAAACTACATGTCTGTTACCCTTTCTCTGGACTTATATAAATGGCCATATGCCCTACAATGCCATACAACGTTCTTTTACTGTCCAGATTTACATAAACAAAACATGAATAAATGACGTAGTTTAAGTTAAGATAACTCTGCGGCACATCTGTCTCTCTCCATTTTGTGTCCCACACCGAGACAAGACCAAGACATTTAGGGATCGAGACCAACTCAGGACCAAGGCAGGGCGAGACCGAGACAAGACCAAGATCATTAATATCACAAAAAATCATCATCTTGTGTGTAGGGGGCGTGTCACTCACTTACACTGGAACACCGGGAAGTTTGCGTCCGTAACTGGGGGATAAAAATCAGATTATGAATTAATTATAGTTATTTGTTCTTTTAGAAAGAGCTGATTTAATTCGAAGCAAAGTAATGACGTGGAAAATAGCTGATCAGTGGTGGACTTGAATGGTCTTGATCCGGAGTCCGCCCAGTCTAAAACAAGACGGAGTGAAAATGCTTTAGATTCCGAGACCTTCAGAAAGTGGTCTCAAGACCGATGTCCAGTACTACCACTCCAGTGTATTGACTGGCACACTCAGTAGTATCTGATCCTGTGTTTGAAGAAGTATATAAAAGCAGTTCTCTAACTTGTATTTGAATTACTCACATTGATGAAGTGTTTTCTGTATGTTTCTACTAATTATCATTATGCAACACAAATCCACTATAGAGATGTTTGTACACAGTCTATATAATCTACGCTGCTTCACTGTTTAACACTTGTTTTCTCTCTGTGTGTTATTTCTTTTGTCTTAAAGGAAAATGACATCTTCTTGGGCTGGGAGAAGGGAACTGGGAAGAAATGGGGCAAGAGCAAGAAGAAAGGAGGGACAGACCTGAGTCTTGAGGAAATGAAGAAGCAAGCTGCTGTGCAATGCCTCCGCTCTGCATCTGATGAAGTAAGTATGATTGTTGTAATCCTTTGATTCTCATTGTTCGTTATTATTATTCTTTAGAGACGGGAGCTCGTACGCCTGCCACTTTTTTTGTGAAAGTTTTGAAAGAAAAGTACTTTCGTTACAGAAGCCATGAGGGCGTAATTGGTCTTATAATGTTTGGAATTTGTTACTGTAGTATTCCTTGTTGCTTGTTTGGATGCAGTCATGCAGATATTAATTGCATAAGTCACAGTGAATAGACACCGAATAAAGCAATGTGTCAAAGGATCGCCCATTGAACGGAGGGAGATCCTCATTGTAAGTATGATGTCGCCTCATTTTGGCGACATCAATTAGTCTTCATGGGAAAGGTTATATTGAGGTCAGCTATTTAAAGTTATGTCTTTACATGAAACTGTGATATCCTTATGTTAGTAAAAAGAGCACTGAGAGATTTGCTGATTGTTCATTCAAGGCCAGCAGTAGCAGGGCCTGAATTGTGACGCTGGATTGTGGGAATCTCATAATTCGGGAAAATATTCACATTGTTGTTTACAATCCTCCCGTATGTCACACAGCAAAAGTTTGCTCGGTTTATTACAGGACAGACTGGTCAGAGACACCGCATCAGACCAAGCAACAAAGTCTGGAGTCTCTCCCTCTCTCCCTCTCCTTAAAACACATGTATACACACATGCCTTTGGGCAGGTGTATAGTGGAAAGCAGAGGTGACTATCTACCAGCGTAAAGTTTCTCTCAGACTATAACTTGGAGGCTCATTCAGATGTTTCTGCATCAGCGGATGTAAAGTTGCAGACCATTTGAGCATTTTTATTTTCTTTATCCGCATGAGCTAGTCATCCACAATCGATAAAGTAGATGTCTGTCCCCCTTTCTCTGAACTCCTAGAGTACATGTTGCTATTAGCTGAGGTGCTCTGCATCCTGCACCGATGGACTGATATATGTCATGTCGTCCTCAGACGGATCTCAACCGACATGTGTGAAACATTTCATGAGCCTACAACTGCTGCGTATTGTACAAATATACACACACACACACACACACACACACACACACACACACACACACACACACACACACACACACAAGGGTACAGAGACGAGGAGTGAAAACTAAAATAAGTTTCATAGTAAACCACAATCAAAAAATACTTGTTACCCTCTATAAACAGGGTAATGTCGAGAAACTTAAATTCTGTGTTCATTTTGGTAACCCCTGTAAACAATATTACTTAAGTATTGATCTCAAACATCCTGCTGACTTTAAATTTGCACCAATTATCAGAAAAGAAATCACTCTGAATCTTTTCTGTGGAATATTGTAATCAAATGCACTTCGGGTCTGCGTGCTGCAAATTCTTTGTCTTACATTGATCCAGTGGCTGTGATGACGAGGATTAAAATACGCAGATATAGTCGTTATTTTTCTGATGGTCTTGTTTGCATTTGTAGGTCAGAGGCATCAAGGTAATTTCAGGGTTTCTTTTTCATTACTTTGAAAAAAAACCCGCCTCAGAATGTTAAAGTTTCCTTCCCCCATGGGAAGGATGTAGTGGGGGATTCCCCATCAGTTTAAAAATTGTATTTCAGGCCCTGAGTAGTAAAGGAGGTGGGATTTAATGAGAATGACACAACATAATAGTCGGTAGGAGGGTAGGGGGGAAGGGTCTGCAAGGCAAGAGGATGAGGTTGAGTAGGAGGAGGAGTGTGGAGCTCCTCTCTGGGGACTGGACTCTGCGGTCTATTTTTTAACCAGCACACGCTGCACAGGAATTGCAGCAGTGAGCAGCAGAGTCGGTCGGCTGTCAGCTGACCGGCATTAGCACAATGATGCATGAGGAAACACAGAGCTGGAGAGAACTTTGCTTTCCTTTTCGTCAGGTGGCATGGTAAGGATAAACATTGAAGTGTGAGCAGGAAGTGATTGAGCTAAAAGTCTGGCAGGACTGGCACTGTGGAGCAGCCACGTTGGGAATTTGTTTGAATCTATTTAACAGTTCCTACTTGGTTCCATTTGAACACTTTTCTCTTGTTTATAGTCCTTGTTTATGTTATTCATTTATCACATTTCTCAATATGAGAAGTTGGTGAGCCAAACAGGATGTGTAGTAAATGTTCAGTGCACTGTGAGGCAATCACTTCTGCATGGCCTTTTTTTCTCTTTTTTTTTTTTTTTTTAAAGGCATTTCTGCAACATAGCTAAATATAGCGCAGGCATAGCCAAGCATGCCTAAGCTCTCATAAGTCAGCTGGCATGACTTGTGTCAACCCCGTGCCTTTCATTCTTTTCTTTTGGGTCACACTCGGGGTCATAGTAGCTTTTGTGAATTCTTACCTGGGGCCATTATATTCAGTCTTCAGAAAACAAAACGGTTATTGTTTATGAGTATGCCCCTATTCACTTTTGAGCAGTCTATGATTAATATGGTCCATTTCATATATCAGTTACATTAACATAAACTCACAAATAACTTTTATATAATTACAAATAACTTTTAAATAATTATTATTTTATTTTTTTAAATCACCGAGCCATTCAATATATCCATCCATTCATTATGTACACCGCTTTTCCCATTTGGGGTCGCGGGGGGGTGGAACCGTTCCAGCTGTTATTGGCGAGAGGCAGGGTTACACCCTGGACTGTTCGCCACTCAATCACAGGGCTGATATATAGAGACAGACAAGCACCCACACTCACACCTGAGGGCAAGGTAGAGTCACCAAATAACCCTAACAATTATGTTTTTGACGAGGGAGGAAGCCGGAGTACCTGGAGAGAACCCACGCATACATAGGGAGAACATGCAAACTCCACACAAAGAGCCTCCTTTCTGACAGGGATTCAAACCAGGAACCTTCTAGCTGTGATGCAAAAGCGCTAACCGTGCAGCCTGCTATTCCCGATACTGAAACAAAAATCACTTTCTGGAATTACCATGTTTGCTATGAAGTGCTTCATTTCTCATGTTTTGGTGCAAAACTTGGGCAAAGCATGAGAGTCAAATCAGTGTTTCTTTCAGGTGCCAGGCCAGATTTAGAGTTGTTCAGTGTTTTATTTTGCAACAACAATCTTTGAGTGTGACATTTGCTTTGTCTGATTCATCCTTTTCTCTGAAAAACAAAACACTTACACACTGTAGAATATTTCCAGAGAGGAGAGTTATTTATCCAGATGTTTTCTCTACTACTTCCTATCATATACCTGGTGATGAAGGAGTGATTTACTGTGAATATGTTTTATTTAATTATTGATCAATGAATCAATGTATTTTTTTTTTTTTTTAAGATTTATTTTGGGCTTTTCGTGCCTTTAATGCAGAGAGAGGACAGTGGGTAGAGTTGGAAACCAGGGTGAGAGAACGGGGAATGACATGCGGAAAGGGGCCACAGGTGGAAGCGAACCCGGGCCTACCGCTCGAGACGAGAGTCTCAATACATGGAACGCGCGCCCTAACCATTGTGCCACCAGCGCGCCCCGAATCAATGTATTTTTAACGTCAACTCTGAGAGTACAACCTTTGTCATTATGTCAGTGAAAGAACATATGCTCAGATCCGATGCGTCAATTGTTTGAGCTCACAGTTGTATTTGTCTTTTGTACAAGTATGCATCGAAAGTGACATTGAGTTCTCAAAAATGTTTTTTTTTTTTTCCTTTTTTTGCGCAGAACTCTGGAATTGAGAGCCTGGTTGAAGAGCTTTGCTCTAAACTAAAGGACATCCAAAACAAACAGAAAGGTATGGTATTAAGAATGATTCATTATTTGATAAAAAGAAAAAAATACTTGAACTTATCTCCTCTAAAAAGCATTTTTATGTCTTCTCTGCAGAGGAAAAACAGATTAAAAAGAAATCTGATGGCGCTCAGTCTCCAGAGCGAGCTGAGTCCCCCTCTTCAAAGGACCAGGTGGAAATGTAAGTAGTCTGGAGTGTGTCTGTTTACAAAAGTGGCCGTAGAACACACCCATATTAATTTGTTTATTGGAACTCTGCTGACACCGATGTATTTAAATCAGATTTTCTCTCTGTGTTTTTTGTTTCTGCAGGTATTATGAAGCCTTCCCTCCTTTGTCAGAAAAACCTGTTTGTCTCCAAGAGATCATGACGGTGTGGAACAAGGCTAAGGCCTGCGCTTACTCGAGTTCATCATCTTCCGCAGCCCCACAGACCAGCACGGACACCTCCTCCCCAAAAGATTGCAACAGCGAAGGTGAAGCTGCAAAAGAGCGAAACCCAGAGGCATGCAGTACCATCACTACTGTGACCAACGAGAGAGCCCAGCAGCGACGAAGCAAGAAGGAGAAAGAAAACAGATACCATGGTGGGGCAGCAGCAGAGGAGAAGTCTACCGTCCACTCCAAGAGACAGACCAGACACAGATCTGAGGGCAAATACAGACCCAGATCCTGGTCTTCTGGCTCCAGCGAGGCGGGCTCAAGCTCAAGTGGGAACCAGGCTGACTCCAAGTCATCTAGGAGCAAGGCAGTCAGAATAAGGCACAAATCGAGGGAGGCAGCTAAGAATAAGAGAACACGCAACAGTGGGCAAGTGAAGCTTCAGATGAAGGTCATTGACAAAGATGAGCGAAGAAATGCAGGAGGGAGCAGTAGCAGTGCCACAGGAGGAGCTGCCAAACAAACACAGCTTTATAAAAAGGGGAAGCGACCGCTGAAGGAGATTCGTAAAGATCCTGGCTGGAAGGAAGCGAGAGAGTCCGGAGTTGAGGGAATAAACAATAAGGAATACATGGAAGAGCCGCTTTGGTACACTGAGCCCATCACAGAGTATTTTGTACCTTTCAGCAGCAGACAGAGCAAGCTGGAAACAAAATATCGAAGCAAGGTAGACTCTCCTGATGGCTTTGCTTTGTCAGCCGACATGGAGAGGCTGCCGGAGAGATTCCAGGGAATCTGCATTGCTAACGAGAGCTACCAGAGAGCGTACCTAGCAGCAGGCTCGTTTGTGGATGGGCACTTTGTGGAAGGGCCTGGCGAGGCAGAAGATGAACCTGCTGAACTCACTGGGACCTCAAGCTGCCCTCAGCCCGAGGATAGTAGAGATTTAGATGACAAGCATCTGTCTGAATTCACTCACTTCTATGAAGTGGATATTTATCAATCCATATTGGATACTAGTGCCTCAGACTCGATACAAGAGAGTCGGATCCTAAGCATGATTCGACAAAAAAGCAAAGAGCAAAGAGACGTTGAGGCAGAATGTTGTTTAGTGTTAGATGGCCTTGAGCAGCAAGGGAAAAGTGCAATACGGGCAGACTCACAGGAAGCTTCGGGATCTGTTGGATTCTTAATGGAGGATCTCGAAACCATGGCTCAAGTGTGGGGATGTTATTCACCATCAACTTCAGAAGATATAGACGGAGAGAGCTTCATCGGAGACTCTCCCATCCGGCTCTCTCCCCTCCTTGATAGTGTTTCATTCACCCTGAGCAAACTATCTGGGCATCTGGAGGAGCCGGCTGTTCCTGAAGCCACCAGTGAACCTTCTGCTTTGAACTCATCCTGCTTCTCACTTTTTGAGCTGCAGTATGACAGCCCCACTTTTCCTTTTCCCCGCGACTCACTCACCGTTGGTCACGAAAACAACACAGATTCTAGTAGCTGTCTCGACCCCAATTCTAATAAACAGTCTCGTTTGCTAATATGGACCAAAAATAGTGCCTTTGACGAAACTGAACACTGTTCGAACCTTTCAACGCGAACTTGCAGTCCGTGGTCACATTCGGAGGAGACTCGTTCAGATAACGAGCAAGGAAATGTTCCAACAGAGGATGCTGCTCATATTGGCAACGAAGAGATTGATTGTATAATCCCTCCTCTCTCTGGTACATATCTGGAGGATGAAATCTTGGAGTTTTTGCAGGAAGACTCTGCGCGCAAGTGTGAGGAGGTCAGTGTTAAGACAGCGTCCAATCAGACCTTCACCAAAAAGTCTAAATTGGAGTCCATCTGTGGCATAGCATTGGAAAAGGACGAGAGTAAACAGTACAGCACTGGCATGTTTTCGGACACCACAAACCAACACAGTGATGACTACAGCTCAGGGATAATAAAGGACATTTGGACTGCAATAGGAGATGACAAATCTGAAATGGTAAGGAAAGGAGCAGAGAAACCGAGTGAGGGGCTATTCTCAGATGAGTCAGGCGGTTACTGCTGCAGCTGTCTGGAGGTGCAGGCAAAAGCAGGTCCGATTCAAGGACCTCAGAAAAAAGCAGTGCAGAGGTCAGAGTATCACCTGTGGGAAGGCAAGAAAGAAGAACAGGACTTAGCCAAAAACAAACTCTGCAAGGTGGATGCTGCCGGGGATTATATGACTCCGTCCAAGCCCTGGGACTTAAACTCTGAGAAGGAGAGCACATCATTCATCCTGGGAGGGGTGTATGGAGAGCTGAAGACACTAACTGGCGATAAGAATTGGGCTGTTGTGCCGCCAAGTGATGCCCAAGAAAGCCTGCTAACATGTGCCGCTGCAGCTGCTTCTGCTTCTAGCTCAGACATGCTCACCATCACTGGAAAGGATGTGCTCATGAAAGCTGGCAGCTGCTTTGCTCCTGGCCACAAGCCCCTATGGAGGCCTCTTGTGTCCTTTGGGCAGAGTGACCAGGCCATCAGAGGAGGCGGGGATGGATTGAATAAGGGATTTTCTTTCATCTTCCATGAAGATTTGCTCGGATCTTACGGAGGCTTGCATAGTGAGGAGCAAGGTTTGGAATATCCCTTCACATCATTCAACCTGAACAATCCCTTCTCCCAAGTCCTCCATGTCGAGTGTTCCTTTGAGCCTGAAGACATGGCCTCGTTCAGTCCGGGGTTCAAGCCCAAATCTATTCTTTGCTCGGACTCTGAGAATGAAGCCTTCCATCCTAAATATATGGCATCAACAGGACACAGTACAGGGCCATCCGCATCTCCCCCAGGACTCATTTCCGACCAATATCGGCCTCAGAGTTGTCTCCTGGTGGAGTGAGTGATTCAGAGGCTGAGACTGACAAAGAGGAGATGAGTTTTCCCGTCCTGGCCCCGGTGGACGTCTTCGATGATCCTCAGGCCGACCTCAAACCACTCGAGGAGGATGCAGAATGTGAGGGCCCTTATTACGGGAAGTCAGAACTGGAATCTGGTAAATTCTTACCCAGATTAAAGAAGTCTGGCATGGAGAAGAGTGCCCAGACCTCTCTGGATTCACAGGAGGGTTCAAGTACCCTCCTGCCGATCGCTGAGCAAGAGATTTGCTTAGACTGCAAAACGGCAGCAGCTGCTTCAACTGCAGGTGGAGAGACGGGCGTCTCAGTCTGCAAGATTCAAAAGGAGGAATCTTCAGGAGAAAAAGAGTCCTGCTTATGTGCACCAGCAGGTCAGATCCCCAAGTCTGGGATCACTTATGACTTTGTTGGAGAAATGCCAGAGGTGAGGATTTCTTAAAATCGTCTCCTCAATATAATGTGATCACTTTGGCCTAACCACACAGAGTTCTAGTATTTGTCTGTCAGATGAGTTCCACCTCTGACGTCTCAGGCAGTGTTTACAGAAACACACTAACCACTTCTCGTTTGTCTCGTTTAGTTCCCTCTGTTAAATGTTAGTGGACAGGGAGGAACTGGCAACCAGCAGGATGAGAGCTGGTGGCAGAACACACTCTGTTCCCCCCTTTTCCCTGGATCTCAGTGTACAGGTAAAACATAGTTAACTTTTACAAATGAATTCATTGTGCTTTCTTCGAACATATCAAACGAGTAACACTTTACAAAGATATTCTAAGGGTTATTGAACACTATGATTCCTAAGCTAGAGCAACTCTTAATAGACTTAATAGAGGCTGAACACTGGTATGAAAGTGAAGAATCTTGCAATGCATTGATCAACTTATCTTTGAATTGCTACTTTTTGTCTCTGAAACCTCCTCATCCAGTAAATAAATGATACAGTATATGTATAAAGACGGTTAATAACACTGGATTAAGAAGTATTACATTTAACTTTGAATGACAGCAAAAACAGTCACAGAGGAAATGTAAAGACCGGTGACTTTTCAGTAAAGATGGTTTAGGCCACTGGAGAAAAAAAAAAAAAGAAAACCAGGAAGGAAATAAGAAAATGTCACATTTCCTCTGTAGGACCAAGAACATGGTTGTCTTTGCTTCGGTATGTACCTCATGCTTTCTTGACTGGATGGAGATGAGTTTATCTCACCTGATCGCCTGAAAAATCAGCACCCCCTGGATCTGAATATCGGCACCCAAAGGGTTTAAAAAGTCAATAAGTGGACTGTGTGAATCCATAACATGACTCCCACAAATACAGTACACTTAATCATCAATTATGTTTAGTAAAGCAACCATTCAAAGACTTGTAAGTGCTCCTTAATTTTTACGCACTCTTTGCAACTACGAGAATTTTAGCCTCCACAACAAGGAAGCTGCTAGTCTCCAGAACCTGACGGGTTAGTTTGTTTATATTACTATGTGACTTTGGTCTTTTAAAGGGGTTAGCTCAGATCCAACACTACATAGTAATATACAAACTAACCAGAACAGGAAGCATCCCAAATCTCCTCTTTTCTGCGAGGTAACGTAACTGGAGTGTGGTGGCTTTGAGGAATCTGAAAGGTTGTGTTGCAGATTAAAGCCTAGGAGTTATATCTATTCATGTTAAACAGACCCCGGGTAAAAAACTGAAATAGATGTTGGGACATAATCAAGCCTTTTATGAATCACATGCTGGAGTTACAGGAACAACAATCTAACTATTTGCATGGCTTGTTTTCTCCAGGGAGCAGCAACATTTGAATACTCCAGTTTTGCAGAGGACACCTGTCGTTAGAGGGGAAACCTTCCTCTCTCCTTTTGTGACTGGACCTCTACTGTACCAGCAAAGATTCAGGGTCATCTCAGAGCTGGGAAACCTAATGTAGGCTAATTTTTCTGAGAACACCCACCCAAAAACACCCCACACATAACCCTGCTGGTTTTTCATTTACTAACTTGCAACCTCGTGTAATCAAATCAGATCAACAAAAAGTGAGTGGAAATAGGAAAACTCAAAAAATATGTTCTGTCTTTGAGTGATGCCATGTGCGGAAATGCATTTTAGGCGTTTTTTAGAATTAGTTTAATTTGATTCTTCTGTACACTGGTCCTCATTCGAGTCTCACAGTTAGTTAGTTGGGACAATCTTTTGTTCTATTCCTGTCAGTTTTGTTCCCGCCATTTCTTGTTTTTGCTTTTGAACTAGGATACTGGTAGTTGTTGGTGTCTGAATGGTTGTGCATGTGCGTTCGTCCAGCCAGTCTTCACTCCTCTTTTTCTGATGTCGTGTGAAAACGGACTGCTATCACATCCTCTACTTTCCATCTTTGTGTTCAGAAAGATAATAACAAGGATGTTGAGGTTTTCTGAGTTGTGTAAGACTTTGAGAGTTTAATTTAAGTAGTTTGTTTGGATGACTTTCTGAATGTGAAGTAGAGAATGTGTGAAGCTTTTCTCCTGAATATCCTGAAACTTCCCCCGTGTGTGAAAAGTTATCATAAATGAGTCTGATTTTTGAATGGTGATAGTCTTGCTAAAGCTAGTAGTAGACTTAGTACGGTTTGTGAGGCTAAAATAAAATGAAAAAAAAAACCTTTAAAAACAAAAAAACAGGAAATCAAATATGAGTTTTGTTGGAAGAATACTAATAATCTACCTGAAATGCAATGCTGTAAAAGAAATGAGTGGGGGAAAAAAAGAAAAAAAAGTTTGTGTTTTGTGGTAAAGCCCCATCATTAAAAGACAAAACTACAGCCATTTCTGCAGACACCTGTGTTGCAACCGAATTAAACTTGGTTTTATTATTTTTTTGTAATTTCTATGGTACGGACTATTGGTGCTATAAACATGTTCAATTTGAAGTTGAAGTTCCATAATACGGCTGTGATGAGTAGAAAGCCTAGTTCTGTTTGTAGTCAAAGTCAGACTCCATGAATACCTTTTTGCAGAGAAAGAAAAACCAGTTTCTTGCTTCTTGTGGCTTTGGGTTTTTTTTATTTCAAGGTAACCTCTCAGTTGTCAGGCCTGTAAAGGACAAACTCTGCATGGACAGCTCATGCTGCACCTATACAAACATGAAACAAAAACTGTGGGGCGACGGTCAAACCAAAAACATAACGAGCATAATTACACTAAGGTACAAATGCTTTTCTTTTTTTTTTCCATATGAGGTGTGTTTTTATTTTAATTTTTTGGTTTACAATATAAGTCGTTGAAATATTGAGTAATGTCTCACTGTGTGTGAGTGTGTGTGTGTTTGTTGGCAGCAGAACTCGTGAAGGCGCTGGTTCAGAGTGAGTGCAACAAGAAGAACTTTTATCTCAGAGAAACGCGAATGTGTGCAGAGACGTACATTTGCTAAAAAAAAATGCAAGCGCATTATAAGCTTCTCCCTCTAAAGTTAAAACCACACCGTTGACAAGTTGGGTACAAAGTCCTGAAGGTGTGTCGGTTGGCTTTTTGTGACCTGTCACAAGTCCTGCAGATGCAAATGCTAGATCCCGACTGATACGAGCTGATACGGGCTTATCACTGATGCATCATCATCGGCATGTGTTTCCTGATATGCGATGCAACGAAGACCCAATTTAAAGCAGTTAAAAAAGATAGAAAACTCCGTCATCACATAGTCATGCAGCAGCTCTATAGAGAGGGAGAGCAAATACGTCTTACTTTAACTCAAAGCTCACGAGTGGACAAACAAATTGTACAACTATCAGCAGCAGATGCTGAGTCAAAGGTTTATTTTTGCACCCCTTATCCAACAGCGAGGAAAAGGTTAATTTAAAATGTGAAGTACTGTCTGTGTTTTATCCTAAAAAAAGATGAAAGCAGGCCCTGTGTGGCTTTGCTGCAACGTCAAGTTCATCTGTCCAGATTCCCAGTGTCCAAGTCCATCTGTTTTTTTGACATTTCTTCCTCCTGATTTTGTTGGCCTCCTTTATTACCTTTATCACTTTTGTCTTCTGAAAGATTTTCAGTTTAAAACAGCTTAGTTCTTCTGGGGTGTTTGAAATGTTGTTAGTGCTTCCTTACCAGCAGCAGCTTTCAGGCGTTAATCTGTCGTTGGCCAGCAGACCAAAAGGGACGAGTAGGAAGCTTCCCCCTCTGCTGCGGGCATGACTTCATCGCACTCTCTCTTATCGTCGTCTCTGTACTCTTAACTTTCTGCAGAACATGCAGCACAGTATTCAAGCTGAGCAGGAAATGGTTGCACATAAATATAGAACTGCTTTCTGAAGGAAACAAAAAACAGGAACAAAAAGTGGACGTCATATTAGTCGTAGTGATGATCAGATATCAGCCCTAAAAATCCTGTATCTGTCGGGTAACAAATGCATTATGCAGTTTTTTTTAACCCCCCCCTTCCCTTTTTAAGCTACTTGATTTCTCAACAAAGATTTAGAAGACAGTAGCCGAGTGACTTATTTGTCACTTAATTACATAAAAAAGTGAAGCACAGACATCTAAGATGATGGTTCTTTTAATTAAAAAAAAATCTGAGTCAACAGTGTGACGCTGTAATGCACTGTCGCAGGTGAAGGTGTCTCAGTAACAGGCATGGCTTCCTCGTTAAAGACAAAAAAAAATACAAAGATTGTAAGTAGATCAGGTTTGTTCAATCCAACGGCAAATCAACTGACCCCCCCCCCCCCCCACCCACCGACCCCCTTCAAATAACCGAATGAGAGGTACTCCAACCTCAGGGTCTTCGTCACCTTTCTTTGACCGTCATCAGACACTCAGGAATTTTTTAATACGAGCATTCTGCATAATCTTCCACTCAGACCTGTGACAGTGCATTGATGCATTAATGTAAAAACCTTTCTGTGATTGTAGAGCAGAACTTATTGACGGGAGATCTTTCATGCTAACCCCACTGCAGGTGGCTGTCGTTCATTTAGAGTTTTAGGTAGAGAGAAAAACAGAATTAAGCCATCGTGGGTTGCATCAGCGATGCAGAGAGCGTGACACAAGAGGTCCTATGCAATGCTTTGACGCATGTAAACATTCAAGAATTTAAGGAGACGAGTCGTCCGGTTTCTTTTTGCATGTTTGATTTTTGAGTGAGAGACACCTGAAGGTAAAAAAATATATATAAAAGAGAAATGTCTCAAAAAGAAAATGCAGCATGCAAACATCACACTCCATCTTTTTCTGTTAGGTTGAAGAAAAATATTTTAAGTTTATTATTAAAAAAAAAAAAAAAAAAAAAAACACAAGAGGTTAAATCCCTGATTGAGAGAATGACTGCGTGAATCTGTGAGCGAACGTTTCACACCAAAAAAAAAAAAAGCACTTAGGGAGTTGAAAGGAATACATCACACCTTTCTCGATTTGATTCTTCCATTTTGATAGGCTGATGTGTGTTAAAAAAAAATATTAAAAAAATAACTAAAATAAAAAGATGAGTAAATGCATCCGGCGAGGGTATATATGCATTCGGAACGAACACAGAAAGAGTTTGCAGAGTTTCAGTCACACGGTGGTCTGAAGAACATATCCAGCACTGAAAACTTCCTCGTCTTTTCATTCCCACCCAGACGCTCCTTCACCACCACCACCACCACCACCCTCCTCCCCCCCTCCTTTCCTCTAACGTTCCTGAATCACACCTGTCCCGAGTAGCTCTGTTGTTCTGATCTCATGTACACCCTGAGTAAATTATTTTGTTTCATTGTGGATTTTTTCTTAACATCTAATAAAGGAATAAACCAAAACCTCAGGCCTTGGACTCGACTTGTCTTTTCATTCTCCATTCTTGAAGTTCAAGTACAATACCGCATCTGGACACTAGAGGGCAGCGTGAGGAAGCTTTATGATCACATCAAGCTTTAGACTTCTATTATTTTCCTAATGATGCTCACTCACAGTGTTTTTAAACATTTTAGGATGCCTTGAAAGTCACATTTATATTTGTTTTGTCTTTGAAAAAAAAACAGAATCTACTCATTTTTTATTCTCCACTCAACAGGCTGTAAACAAGTATGACTATAAATGTTCTGTTTCTTTAGCTGTTTGATGTTTTGGGATTGTATTTTACAGAAATCGTGAGGGCTGTATGTTTTGCACTGACATATTAGCAGAGGCGTGTCCAGACCTTTTTGACTGGGGTGGCCCTACTGGGGCACTGACTGCTGCAGGGGTGGCCTTAAGTGGGACGTGTGCACAAAGTCACACAGAAAAAAAAGTGTAAATGATTTACCATTTCTTACTTCACCAATTACATCTACTTCATGACACGAGATAACAGAAACATTAGCTTAATTTTTTTAATGACTCAAAAAGAAGGTCACCATTTAAAGTACTTAGAAATGCATGAAAACTCCTGCACAGTTTAACCCTTACGACTCCAAAGCTTCAGGTTAGGACGGTAGGGATGACGCCAGAGCACGCCACTCGCCGCTTCATGACCAAATACCCGGTGAAAAGTGTGCTTGTCTTCCGATTTTCTCCTGGACCTCTACACCCACATTTAATTTTCCCTCTTTTTCCGCTGTAAGTTACACAATACTGTATGTAAGGTAGCCTCAATGAATGCACCTGATTGGATAAACGGGCAGATAGTCCCTGGACTAATTTGCAATAGAACTCTGGTCTGCGAGCACGCCGGAGCCCCTCTTGAAGCTCGCCACGAAAATCCTAATATGCACTGCGCGACTGCAGTTGAGACGCTATCCAGTGGAGCCGTACGGCCTGACGCCGTGCAGCACTTCCCTATTCACCTGTTCTATGAAAAAGATGTGCAAAGTTTGTTTTTACAATTTAAAGTTCAAATAAAAGAAAATATGCTACATATGAAGAAAACCACTCCTTTAACTAGCCTTTAAATTAAAAAAAAGACCAAATAGTTGATTTTTACATGAGACCCTCCTCTGACAGGGCAAACAGCCAATCACAGACTTCTAGATGGGCCCATGTCTCCCTTTGACACCCCTCTGGACACACCTCTGCATATTAGAAATCAAATCTATTATATGTTGTGTGATCTTAGCTCAGAAACTAGAGCAAAAGAGTCCTGAAATGACATTTTCTGTAGACGATGTGTTTACCTTTTGGGGTTGGATTTAAAAATAAGATGAGCCTTTATTGATCCCACAAAGGGGACATGTTTTAGTGTTTACAGCAGCGAGGAATTTGCAGCCAAAATTGATCTAGGTATTACTGTACCTAATTTGTGATTTACTTCCTGTTCCAGGATGTCTGTAAAACGATCATGAAATGTTATTTTGACCAATATAAGAGGAAATTGGCTCCTTAAATAGGAGTGTTAACTGGGAAAGGTAAGATGTGTTTTTTATTCTTAGTCACAGCAGCCTTTTGGATTTTGTGAATACATTTTTTTTACATTTCTTTATTTGTTAGGCACCCCATGAGCTGTTCCCTAAAGATGGGTTCCCATACTTTCAGCTCATGACCCCCCCAACAAAGGGTGCCAGAGACTGCGGACCCCCTCATCTGTGGATGTGGTAAAGGCATATTAAAATTCAATGCACAGACTTTATCACTCAGTAGATGATATAAACCTTGTAAATACATACACTGTAAATAAATAGACACAGGTGTTTGAGCACACATCTTCTGAAAAGTGGAGCAGGTAAAAGACGAGAGGATGGACTTTTCTCATCATTAGAGGGTTTGTAGACAGACTAGAGACACATTAGTGTTTGGAAAACATGGTGAAGTGGATTTTTTCACAATATGTGACCTTTAAGTATTTTTTACACATTCATTTAATTTTCATTTGCTTTCATGTGAATTAGAACTACTTTACAATTATGGGTAAAATATACAATTTTAAATTATTAAACATTTTTAGTGTTTTTCTTTTCTTTTGGAAAGCATCTCCCGACCCCCCTTGGGGTCCCGACCCCCACTTTGGGAACCACTGCCCAAGAGCACAGCAACTCATCCTGGGGTCCACATGAAAACACATAATAACAGGTGTATCTGGATTATTTTGATTCCACTGATTTTACAGTCATCAGACTCAAACACTCTTTATGTTTTTATGATGTATTCTTGTGTCCAAAATGAAACAACAAACACTTTCATTTATAAAATGCTAAAGATTATTCCTAAAATAAACTGCAGGAAACACAAACTCCATATATTCATGTTAAATTCCAACGTTTGTAACATTTAAAGACGATGATAACGCATCATAGTAAGTTGTGCAGGCTGCGAGGTCGATTAATAATGCCTTCACGTCCAGACAACAAACGAAACAGGTGAATCATCGACGGTGAGCTTTCTGGACTCGATTACTCAGCACTCACGGCACAACTTTGTGTTAAAATGGCGACGGAAGCGTCGAGACAGGTAATGAAATGTTAAAACGATGCCGAATAAACTTGTGTGATGTGCTTGTTTGTACACCTTACGTGCATGTCGGGGAAGTGTTTCCTCTTCTTCAGCGACGCCGTGAGACTGGATAATCTCAGTCTCTGTGATCTGAACTGGATTTGGCTGCACTTGAGGAAGCGTCAGCAGCAAGTGCACTTTGCGAGTTAGTCCGGCTCGACCAGCTGTGGGAAGGTGTTTGATCCCGACACAGAGTTAACGCTGCTGCTTTTTGTTTGTGTGTGTGTGTGTGTGTGTGTGTACACGAAGCTGCGTTGAGGAGTCACGCAGGCGGTTCAGGGAGGGGATGGTGGTTCAGCAGAAACTCAGCATCATCATCATCATGGACCGCCCCGGCCATCGGCAGCCACCTGCCACCCACCTGTAGCATCACCCGGCGGCAGCATGGCGAACACGACCCCCCCCGGTACTCAGGACCGGAGAGACAGCCACTGTGGTAGGTTACTGACACACACACACACCTAATCTCAGGATTCTTCTGTATTTAACAAGCAAAATACAACGTGCTCTCCTCCATCTGCGCTGAACCCCGCTTAAAAAACGTGTTATTTAAAATACATCCCCACATATTATCACTCTGCAAAAGTTAATTAACTAAAAGGTGTGACTTTTTGTGAACATTTAAAACCAGTCTTCAATTCGGCTTGTGTCATATGCACTATAAATGTATAATAATAATAATAATAATAATAAAAACAAGCGTTACCACATGTACATATGTTCCAATTTAATATGGCCTTGTGTGTTATGTCTCATGTTGCAGCCTATTTATAATTGAAGACCACGCTTCTTTCTTTATTTCTTTCTTTCCAACGATTTAAAAAAAATAGATGAAAATGAATAAACAAATGGAAAAAAAAATCTGTATAAAATAAAAAAGCCAATTTCAATATAATACACATTTGACTCATTCGAAAAGGGATAGGAAGAAGCCTTGTCAAGTCCTACCCCTATTCTTCACCATTAACAAATGCAAAATCCAATAAAATAAACTAAACGGACAATACAAAAAAAATACTCCAATCCAGCTATTAAGAAAAACAGAACAAAACAAAAAAAAGAACAAAATGAACAGGCGCCATTAATATCTGTGAGATTTACATTCTCCTTCCTCCTTTCTGTACTTTTCAAAGATATATCTTTTTTAAAAAAAAATTAAATTGCATTATATTCATACTTTGCTTAATCGTTTTGTCAAGACCATTCCACAAAAACATTCCGCTTCAGATCGGTTTTAATTTAATACTTTAAATGTAGTTTAATACAATAAAGTTCTAATAACATTAAGAGACGATTAATCAAAACAAACTGCATTTAACAACACTGTAAGTTAAATGCATCTTGGAATATTGTATCTTTACATATAAAAAAAAAAATATACAAGTCTTTAATTCGGCTGTCATTTATTACAACACAATGGACTATTTAAAAAAAAAAACTGAACCTATAACCTTTTCATTAATGCTAACAACCGTTTGATATGACGTTTTGTAAATCATTTAAAAGTAGACTTAAACCTGACAAACATGTAATGCACTAAGGATTCAGAATCAGATTTACTGGCCAGGTCTGCTTTTACACACACGAGGAGTTTGACTTCGGTGAACTCTCTCACTGAGAACAACATGAATTGAAGAAGAAGATGTACTTTATCGATTAATTGGAAATTACATTTGAACATGCTACACACATGTGGGCTCCTCCACCTGAATGCACTGATGGGGAGATGGAAGAGCACCATGGCAGTGCTTAGGAGCTGATCTGGCAACTCTCCAGCTACCAGACCAAATTCCAGGCTTGGCTACATTGCTATAAAAATGACTTAGAAGTGCATAACGACTATAACTTCATGTTTTACAGAACAGCCGTGTATACAAAATTCTGCGTCTAAATCTAAAAAACAGATTTTTCTTCTCCCCGACTAAACTCACTCTAATTAATCTGAGAGTAGCTGTGAGTTAGCTTTAGCTTCATCTGAATGCATTAAAAATATTGTGAAAGCATGAACATTATACACAGGCCTCCAAACAAAGTGTAAAATGTTCAAATGCTGAGACAGAGAGCATCGCTGGACGACGTTAAAAGTTTTATGTTTGTGATTTGCGATGACTTTATTTTACCTTCCATCGCTAATGAGCCGTATCATGTTTGCATTTTTGTGAACAATTAGCACTTTTCACACGATAAGATGCCACGATTAAAAAAAAAAAGTAAACATTTAACCAAGCGGCATTTAATGACAGTGAGAGTCTAATGCATCCTTTAATATTCTCTGTTCTTCACACAGCTAACAAACCCGAACAAGTAGCATCCTGTGACCAATTTTAAACCTCCTTTTTAATTCGGCATCAATTTAATAAAACAAATGTGATGATTATATTGGGACGTGGAGATTCACCGCTGAACCCCTCTGGAGGGGTCGTGAGCCTTTCAGAGAAACACTTGAGGAACAGGATGCCGTCTCTCACTGAGTATCCCACAGAGTCTTTGCAGAGTGTGAACACCTTTCCCCTAATCAACAAAATCATCAATTTGATCTGTTTTGCACATTTAAAAAAAGTTCTGGGACTAAACGTTGGGTGTGTTTAATATGAACAAAGCTGACCTGAAGTGAGGCTCAGAAATGACTGAAATATTTCTCCCGTCATGTGCTTTAGATTACGTTCACTACTCCGAGCATTCCAGTCTTTTTGCTGATGAAGTTTTTTTTTTCCCCCTTTTGACCCAAAGAGACCAAAAATCCTGAGCGTTTTCCAGAACACGAGGAGTTCTCCTGCTTTACTTGAAACTGTTATTGTGCCTTATTGATAATGGTAGTGATGTAATGACCTGCAGAGTGAGGTTTGTGTGTGCACTGACAACCTGGACGAGGTTCATCATGACTTTTATAAGAGCATGCATGACTGCTGTTGGCGTGGCCGTGTGCTTCACTGCTTTAATGCTAAGAGGTGAAAAACCTGACGAGGGACTTCTGCGTTTTTGTCCAGTCTCGCTCCAGCAGTGCATTGTTTGTACAGATTCTGTGTCATGTGTTGGTTACCTGTGCTTGTAGATCATTCCCTCAGCGGCACAGGAACAAACCTGTCGCTGTGTTTTGGGGACAAAAGTGGAGCAGCCGGGCTCACATGACATCCTGCAGGTCAGGGTTTAGAGCCCCGCTTTGTGCTTGAACCATTAGGAAAACATTCAGCTTGACTTGAGGAACTCGTGTATTCACCTTCCCACATATCGTGCAGTCTTTTACCCGTCTGTGTACAACAACAACAACAACAACAACAACAACAACAACAACAACAACAAGGATTTATGTCAGTCTTAACTCGAAGCACAGCGGTGCAAATGTTTCCGTCTTTGAGCGTCAGGGTGGTCGATTAGTGCTGCAGCCTGAGAGCTCGAGCGTGGCGTCCCAGCTGCTGTTACAGTATGATGTATCCTCACTGTGGCCCTGTTCACATTACAGCACCGACTCCAGTTACAGCCTGGTTACAGAGGGATTAGTTTTCACCTCATCAGGCGTCCACACTTATTTCCTCTGATGCCAATTAGAAGAACCACTTTGTGATATTGGATTTGTTTTGTTTTAAACTTTCTTTCTTTCGTTTTTGTTAAGGTGGGTCTGGAGGAGCTATCGTGGAGAACGGCTGTGAAGTGAAAGACCCGTCTGACCTCCACGATCACATGAACCATCACTGCCATGTTCCCAGCATGCACAGCAAGCCCGTCGTTCCCACCTACACGCCGACCTGCTCCTCCACCCCGATCTACTACAGCAGCCCCCAGAAGAGCTGCTCAGACCTGAACCAGGACTGCCACAGCTTGTCCTCTCAGGACTCAGGGATCCCGACTCTGGAGATCAACCCTCCGGAGGCGATCCTCCACGGCCACCGTCGCCTGGGAGACGGCGGCCTCATTCTGGACTCCACCCACGACTCGCCTGCCACTCTAGCTTTGCACGATGATCCCTCGGACGGCAGCGCCATCCGCAAATCCTCCACCTTCCCTCGCAGCGGGTACGACTCCGTCCGCCTCTTTAGTCCCGCCCTCAGGTTGTCCGCCACTACAGGGATGAGCATCGGGGGCGGAGCCTTGAACCGCAGCGATGACATCTCCATGTGCAGCGTGTCGAGCATGAGCACCGAGCTCTCCGTGTCCAATGAAGACATCTTGGATTTCACCGTCACCTCGGACTCCAGCGCCATCGTTACCTTGGAGACGGACGTCAGCAACGACGCTCACTTCTCGGACGTGACGCTGTCGTCATCACCCAGAGACTTATGGAGCCCGGGTTCAGAACAGGAAGGGGATGGCAGGCTGAAGAAACTGGGACCTCTGGCGAGCTTATTCAACAGGTGAGTTCAGATATGACTTGGAGTGTAAAGACAATTTAAAAAAAAAAAAAAAAATAAAGCTAAAAAAAATGCTGAATGTTGGGTAATTAAGTAAACTTTCAAGCTGTATTTTTAGACAAAAGCAGAAGGAATGTTTGCCTTTGGATGCTCGCATGAATTTGCCTTCAGGATCATTCTTGTTTACCAAAAATAGTTAAACTCAACTCAGGAGTATTCCCCTTCCAGGCATGTCTGAAAATCAAACGCCATAGTGTCTGGGTCTGTGACGCAACCAGAGGTCTGTACACTGAAGCGAGATAGAGAGAGAGCGAACGAGCGAGCGAGCGAAGTGGTGGCGCCCCCCCTGTGGGCCCACCTGCAGGGATGGGGATTGGGTGCTGTGTAGACTAGGCAGCAGGCTAATGCGTGCTGATCCCCGCAACCTGGCCCTGAGTAAGGGGAAGATGATGGATGGACGTTTCAAATGCATTCTGAGTGATAGTTGAGATGGAATATTTAAAAATAGGTCTTCACACAGTTAGTCAGTGAGATGATAATCAGTCCTGCACTTCCTCTTGCGACGGACTTTTTGTTGAAAGTCCTGTTGGATTGCAAAAGCAGATGTTGCAATAAAATTGCTTTACAACTATTTCCTAGCCCCACCCCTGCCCACCCCGTTTCATTTTGCTGCAAGTTTTAGTCACTAGCTGTGTTAACTGCAGAGTCACTTCTGTGAACCATGTTGCTAAAGGTAGCCTCAAGGAAGACAGAAGACCCCATGTATGACCTCAGAGGGTCGATCATAGTGTCCCTAAACGGCTAATCCCACTTCTACCATCCGTGCAGGAAGTCCGTATATGAGTGCAGGTTTTGTTTAAAAATGGCTGGTTAGCTCCTCCAGGAGAAGCTCAAAGAAGAAGCTGTTGCATGAGTGACTGCTCACTTCTGTGTGCTGATGTTCCTTCCTCTTACCCAGTGATGTTAGATGCATCATTGGGACAGGAGCAGGTGTTTCCTATGCTGCGTTCATTCTGCGAGCCTTAATGCTCAGATCTGATTGTTTTTGTTTGGGTGTTCACATTGGCTCCTGTGGGAATCCTCATATGAAAGTGGCTCAAATCTGATTTAAAAATAAAATAAAAAGAATCAGATTCCATGTGACTCATGGTGGTCACACTGTCATAAAAAAAATCAGATCTTGTGCGCCCACGTGTAGGCTTCAACTCTCTTAATGACTCTAACACCCCTGAGTGCAGAGTGGAAGTGGATTATTAAACCCTACAGCACAACAGCGAGTTTGCCCAGATGTTGCTGAACAGCTGTAACACCTTTCACTGTCCGTCATGGAAGATGCTCCGTATATAAACGCTCCCACATTCTCAGCCACTCAAACTTAAATTCCTCTAAAAAAGTTTGAAATTGAAGTGTCATGCAGATGTGAAATCAGTACATTACATGATATTCAGAATCTAAATAAGATTTTTACGTCTTGAAAATGGAACATGTGTTTATTTGAACATCCATATCTAATGATGAGTAAAAAGGAACTGAACTTTAGGAGAGAAGCGTGCTTAGGTAAGGTACTGATTGCCTAGTGTGAGTGTGCCTAACTTTTTAATTTTGAACAAATGCTGGGAGTTAATTCATTTCACAGCTGTAACCTGACACCTGCTGGCTTGTTTTATGACACGTGTGTGTGTGTGTGTGTGTGTGTGTGCAGGTGTGTGACTGGACGAGATTCAAGTTTGTTCAAGGTTGCTGCTTTTATTATTAGACGATGGAGGCTGTAATTATAATTAAAGAGTTATGTGATAAAGCTGTAAAAAAGAAGAAGCTGCAGCCGTGCACTTTCATGACATAATCCGTAAACTAATACGACATAAAGGATTTTAGTGTAAAGTAAAACCCCATGCTGCTCTGCGTAGTTTCACAGCTCATATTACATTCTCTAGTGGAGCTGCACAGACTGGTTGCTGATGATGTCAAACTGTCTGCATTAGCTTTGTGTTTTTTTTTTTTATCTACATGTCGCTGAGTTTTCTGGATTGTCATGACATTTGGTACATGCAGGATATAAAAAGAAACACATGCAATACCAGTAAGACTTACATCATCATCATCAGCTGTGTCGTGTATGGAGCTGATAAGCAAATGTAAGCATGCTAAAATACCTGAAAGAGGTCTGTATTGAAATGGGTTCAAATCAAACGAGCTAAAAGTTAGCATCTTGGCATGCTGTGTCTTTGTGCAGCCTCACAAAATCAGAGCACCTTTTGACATGAGCACTTTACTTATGACTTACTGCCGTACTTTAATTACTTTATTCTGAAATATAAGTATCATAAATACAGATTCTACTTTACATTATAATCGGTTAAGTCTACACATTTCACGTAATAGATACAGGCACTATTTTGTCCCCTGTGCCTTTTCCCTCCTTTATTCAAGTCGGGGGGGGGGGGTTGGAACCCAGCGGGGACAGATCCAATCTTATATCGGTATGCCATCCGGAGTATTGACATAGTCATCATATTTGACTGATGGCGCCAATCATGAAGCATCACTGGGCACTTAAAACATTCTCAGCTCGCACAGTCTCGCTTTGAAGGCGTTCAGACTGAACAGCAAGAATTGTCAACAAATCGTCTCGATGACGACGTTCAGACAAGATGGAACAGCTCCTTCTTCTTGATCAAAAGTACAATTCTTGCACTTCAGTTTAAAATATTTAATTTGAAAATCTTACCTAGAGTTTTTCAGGAGTTTTGTGCGAGTGTGAAACCGGGCCTTACTGCAGGATTGCAAAAGAAGACATTGCTTAAAGTTACTTTTACAAACTTTCTGAGGCAGAACTTCCCTTACTCTTTTCCATTTTGCCACAACTATTACTTCAAAGTGGTTTAAGATCTTTCTGCATTCAGTAGGGGCACCCTGCACTTTGATTGGATTCCTTAAAGTCGTCATTTTCACACAAAACCTCTCAGTAAAAAGATCAGAAAAGGTGACCATAGTTGTTCATTTCATTGTGTGTTTTTAAATGCCCCCCCCCCTCCTCCTTTAGTTCCTCTGTCTTGTTATCTCTCTCTGATATCTCTCCTCCCTCACATGCAGAAGTTACTCACTCCCTCCGTGCCCTTCAGACTTTTTTTTCTCCTCACACCCATTCCTCCCATTCCTCCCCTCCCAGCTGTGAAGTCTTCCTTCACTGTTTCACTCTGTCTGAAACACTGTGGCTGTGCGGGGCTACTTTGTCTCCTCCCTGGAACTTAAAACTACAGAATCTATGGACCTGAATCTGGACTGAAGGAGACCCTTTGCTCTTCTTAGTTTACTCTTTTCTTTTTTAAGAGAGAGAAATTCTTTGAATCAGAGTTTTGAGAATGGCAGCCCCTTCCCTTCTGCTGTACATTGACAGGTAAGAGAGAAGATGACCTTAAACTTTAGCGTGTAGGTTTGTCCTTTATTCTAAACATCCTGGTCTTTGAGTTGAGTGTTTGCACGTTACAAACACAGCTCTACGCCCGGCTCACTCAGGTCTCTAAAGATGAGAAAGACACTATCTGTACTCTGCTTTCCCTCCTCTTGTTCCGGCTTGTTTTGTACTTCGCTGCCGGCTCTTCTCGTTGTTAGTTGCAGAGCATTTGAACCACCATCTTATCACTTTTATGCACACGTTCAGATGAACGCAAATGTTTTGAGGTCCTAAATACTCAGAGGAGACTTGAACCAAGCATCCCAACAGGCCGCCCTCTCGGCTTTACTAGCTGTTCCACTTGAGCAGCCGACCGAAACTGCAGCCGTTCAGCCGTCACGTTGGTCGCACTGAATGCAAATCACACTCTCTTGTTTTGTGGAAATTTGTTTGGTGTCATACAGGGAAGTGAATATGTTTTAGTGAAGTCTGCAGTGAAATGTAAAGAGCTAAAAGTTTAGTCTCTGCAGCGTAAAGTTGGCACTCGGCTAATCTCTGCACTTTAATCTTTGCAGATTATTTTGAAGGTGGCTCAGGGGTTACTCAAATTCATCGCTCACCGCAGAGGGGTTCCACTTTATCTTTTTCACCTCAGCAGATCAGCTGCTTTGTGAATATTTTAGTTTGAAAGAATGTTTCCATTGAGATTAAAAACCTTATCTGCATTGACGGAAAATGCTGAGATTTTGATAATAAAGTTGTCATTTGAAGAGGATAAAAAGTCTCAATATAAGGAGGTAAAGACGTTAAAGGTCACATATTATGCAAAAAAGAACTTCACCATGTTTTGCTGACTCTAATATGTGTTTCTAGTCAGTCTACACACCTCCCAATGATGAGAAAAGTCCATCCTCTCCGTCTTTTTCCTGCTCCACTCTTCAGAAAATGTGTGCCCTCTGAGTCCGCCTTCTCACCGTAAACAATAAGACATGGAGCAAGAAAGACACTCAAGTCCTTCCAGAGAGGGGCGTGCTCAGACACAGCTCATTTACATTTAAAGGTACAGACACAGAAACAGCCTGTTCTGAGCAGAGCTGAAATAGAGGGGTTTATAGACATGATCAAATACAGGATCAGAGTGGGTGGCTCAACACGTCGTTACCTAAGTGAACTACTACATGTTCATGCTCCATCCAGAACACTAAGGTCCTCCAACCAGCTGCTCCTGGACGTGCTCAAAACTAGGGGCGATCGAGCCTTTTCTGTTGCAGCTCCGACACTTTGGAACAGATTACCATTTAAAACAAGATCTGCTGCCACAACTGAGCAGTTTAAGTCATTTTTTAAAACCCATTTCTTTTCCTTGGCTTTTACTTCTAGTTGAGTGTTTTATCCCAGCAGCAGTGTCTACTAGAACTTTTACTATTGTTTTGTGTTTTAATTACTTTTAATTTTTGCTTTTACGTGTCTTTATGATGTTTTGGATGTAATGTATTTTGCCTAATTTACTGTACAGCACTTTGGTCCGCCTCGGCTGTTATAAATGTGCTGTATAAATAAAGTTGACTTGACTTGACTTGGATTTAGACTTCACACACATGTTTTGAGGAGCTCTGAGACTTACTTGAACTGGTTGATAGGAGGATAATATGTAACCTTTAAAATCACAGGGGAATGGAGTTTGCTCGGTTTGGTTGGAGATGGGTAATCTATGAAGACATTTTGTTACTGATCGGTATCGGCTTTATGGAGCCTAATCTGATGCTTTTTAACATCAGATGTCACATTTTTTTAAACCAGGAAGCTCTGAAGCACAAATCTGTTTTTCATCTTTACTCCGGCATACAAAGCACAGCATGAACAGCAACAGCACAAGATGTGTACCTCTAACATCTCCACTTAGTGAGAGAGGTCACAACCTCACCAATCACGTTTTTTCAAGTGTGACAAAAGCCAAACTTGAGAAAAAAGTCAACAAAACAAATGTTTAAAAGTTACTCGGACAATAGATATACAGACTAAAAGAATAAGGACTCGTACACCAAATGACAAACACGGTAGGATGAGTGTCGGACTACCACATTTTTTGAACTAGGATAAGACAAAAATAAAAATCAATCAGTATTGAAACCTGTTTCAAAACTACAGCTACAAAACAAACATTCTTGTCACTATATTTGGTAACAGTTTGTTACTCATTAACAATTATTGCAGGCAAACTCCTGCACACTGTCTAAATGTGGGGGGGGGGCATTAGCTCAGTCTGTAGGGACTTGGGTTGGGAACTGGAGGGTCACTGGTTCAGACCAAATCTGGCAAATTGGTCTGGTAGCTGGAGAGCAGCGAGGTGCCCTCGAGCAAGGCACCAAACCCCAACCAGCTCAGGAGCGCTCGCTGTGGAGAGCCCCCCCTCACTCTCCACCAGTGTGTGTCCATAGGATCCTGTTTGTGCATGTGTGTGTATTTCATGTGTTTGTATCATGTTCAGTAACATAGTGTAAAATTGACTATAGTAAAGTATATCTTCTTCGTCTTCTAAATCGCACCAATGGGAACGTTTCGATACCAAAAAGATGCCAACATGTTTGTAGATTCCGGCAGTGCTGACCCTCTTTTGCAGCTTTTGGTTAGAGATATGACTGAACGTCGGTCGTTCTTTCTGAAGCTTTGTACATTTTCACCACCGTCGATCATGCAAGTCATGGAGATTGTATCGTTTTAAAACACGTGGACTCCAGAAGTATCAAAAGTTTTGACAACCTCCTTGGAAAAAAAGTTTCTAAGGCTGAAGAGAAAATTCCTCGTGATGGCATCAATGCCAACAGATCACAGAGAGGGATTTCATATGTTCCTCATTCTATAAAGAGAACATTTGTCAACTTGTTCACCGCCTGTCAGAACACACCTAACATGAGCTGGCATTTTCATTCCACTTCTTCATTAAAGCCTCGAGTCACCCACAGAATGAGGAAACGCCTCCTACTGCATTATGTTTGTGTGGAACAGTGTCTGTTTGAGGAGTGAGAGATATGTAGCCGTGATGTGAAACGTGCCGCTACAAGAGAAACAACAGGGAAGTGTTAACGTTTAACCCACAGCTGAGCTAAGTCGCCATCGTGTCTTTGTACGTTCTTATTGACTCTTTTTGGACTCTGAAAAGTCACCGGGCTACACGTTAACAGATAAACTGTGAAGTCCTCACACACGGAGGTGAGATGAGTTAATGTGTATCTGCACTCAGTTTCACAACGCAAGTCAGCAGTCTGAGATCAGCTGGTCTCAATCTTTGACTTTGACCAGGTACAGCTGCTGTTGTTTATCAGCCATTACATAACAGGCCAGCACGAGGGTATAATAGAACACACTCTGCTTTCATTAAGTCATACTGATTAAGGTGGTCAGCATTTCTTTGCTACTTTGCTGAGTCTCATGCCTCTTTAAAGAGGACATATTCTCCCCCTTCTCCACCTTTTCAAACAGTCCCCTGTGGTCTAAATGAAACATCTGTGCTGTGATTTGGTCAAAATATAACATGAATCAAGCACCAGAGGAGGTTTGTGACCCTGTATAAACCAGCTCTCTCAGAACGCTCCGTTTTGGTGTGTGTGTCTCTTTAAATGCAATGAGCCCCCCCCTTAGTTTTCCCAGTAGACATCACTCCTGCGGACCTGCGCAAAAGTTTAGCTCTAGGCTGGGGGTGGAGTCCATGGGTGGAGATACCAGAGGAGGGGAAGCGAATCCCACTGTGACATCACAAGTTGAGCACATTTGAAACAGAGCATTTTTCTCAGTGTTGTAAGACTTATGCAGACCACAAACAAAGGACTGGATGGGTTTATTTCATATTTTGTGGGTCAGTAGACACTCAGGTTACCCAAATATATGTTATATAATAATATAAGTGGATTCTTCATAATACGTCCCCTTTAAGATCTTAGCTTAGTTATTTGGAGGAGTAATGAGGAGATGAAGTGATCCCCCCCTTGTACCTCCATCGAAGGTAGTAACAGAGGGGGTTACAGGGGTGGGACTGGATCGGTGGAGCCAGTGTGTGTGGTGCTCCAGCTCTGCTCTCTCGCACTTCCTCAACAGCGTAAAGTCCCCCGACTGGGACACCAATACTACGTCTTTTCAGAATCCATATAAATGTTGAGTCCTGCATGAAATCTGCATTCCCAAAGTAGTCTTAAAATGGTCTTAAAAAGTTGTACATTTAGTGCAACCCCCCCTTTCTGCTTTATTGAAAATGTGACCATAGCTAACAAACTGAACATAAAGCTGTAATAAAAAAGACTCTGAACTAATGACTGGGGCCATAAACCCATCAACTTTTTACTGAGGTAAAAAAACAAGCAAGAATTTGGCTCTTTTACTGGTACTTTTTAATACAATACAATTTTGAGATGAACATGTTGATGAATCGTGATGGGTCTTCACTATCCTGAAAATATCATCTGAACAATGTTTCATCTGGGCTCTGAACTCCATCAGTGTCATGGAAACGATAGATGTGCTGCAGCAGATGTGGCCTGTTATCAGTGAATGAAGCCGGCACTCTTTAGCCTGTAGCCGTGTTTGCTCAGAGAGCTCAGCAGCTTGTTTCCTGTCATCACCACCCTGAAGGCAGGCGAGGAGCTCAGGAGAAGGTGCGCAGCAGTCAGTGGGTCAAAGGTCAGATCACAAGACAACTCACACCTCTCCAGAGACGTATAACCAGCTTATCCACGCTTGTCCATGCTGGATAGATGAATTGTCTCCTATTGATCAGGGAGCTACAATCATCAGATCAAGCTGTTTCCTCATCGTGAGCTTCATCCCAGACAAACGGCTGGAGACGGACTCTTTGATGTTACAATGCATGTTCATGTCACATGACCAGGCCAGAAGAGGCTTTTATCTGAGCAGCTATTCATGTCTTTTCACAGCTCCGCTCTATTCAGGCTTCTAATCAAAGCCCCCCCCGCTTGCAGCTCTGTGAAGACAACTGAAGGGGAATCGCTCTCTTAATGTTACAAGCAGAACAGAGGACGCTTTTATTTTCTGCAGCTTTGCATGTTGTGTTCAAGCACCAGGTGATTTCTTACAGTGGAGGTTTTCAGGGTCTGAATGCAGAGCAGAAAGGGCAGAAAGTCATTTAAAAGGTTGAAGGGGAAAGAACATTTAATTTATTCATTTTGTGTTTTGTCTTCAGAGAAACAAAATGCTGGGTTAAGTTCAGGTTTAAATATGAGGCTCAAGAACTTATGAGCTTTCATTCTTTGATTCCTTTTTGAGACTAAGAAAGTCTTGAGTTCATGGGAGGACACACACACACACACACACACTCACTGCCCTTCTTGGGTCCCAACAGTGACCCAATAACCTTTCCAACCTTATGCTGTTTTCACATATGCACTCCTGAAAATGTCATGGGTAAAGTCTGTTAGCGTTCACACAAACAGACTAACACAAAATAGTGCTTTAGACTTTTTGCTCTGTGCTATAATGACCTAATTCATTCGTCCTTGATTCCTCTCTCAGGAGCCTGTTTTCCAGGAGGGTGAAGGACAGTCGGCCGGTGGAGCCGAGGGATCCCGGCTGGAAGCTGTTTGGAAAAGTCCCACTGCGGGAAACTCCCACCAAGGACCACAAGAGAATACAAACGGTAAAAATATCACTTTAAGTCTTCACCACATTGTCCCGTGATGATCCTCACATGACCAAAATCAGAAGACACTCTGCTCCTTGAAGGTGGAGTCAGAAGCATTCTTTTGTTGCAGCTTATAAACACAACATTTAAGGATTTGGGGTTAGCGAGTTAACTTCAGGGTTAACTCTTGTGTTTACCTGGGTATATGGCCATGAAGCACACACTCACTGCATGACGTAGTGTGTGTACGTTTACTGCTTGTACCTACACTGCAAGCTAACGCACGCTAGCACAAGCTAACTTCTGGGGTGCGTTCATATTGTCATTTTTGCTTTGGAAGGTTCCTAACTGAGTGAAATGACCCGGAAGCATTTAAGTGGCGGCCATGATAAGAGCCGTTCGAATTCTCTAAAATCTAAAGAAAGGTGGGTCAATGCTTCCTTTATAACCTCCTTTAGGATACACTCGACCATCCTTTACCAAAGGAGATGAGATATGACGCCCCACAATTCCTTGCGGCCGCAACATTTAAAGCATCCGACCGTTCACGGAAATGAATGATGATCGTAAAGTGACACAGATCATGTAAGAGATAAAAGATAAGAGACATTTTTATCAGATGATGTTTTATTTAACATATTTCATTCTCTTAAGAATGCTGTGCAGTTGTACATTTGTATGCTTAAAACATTATGTGTAGGTTATATCTTACATAAATGTAACATTTAATTTCATACAATCATATTTATGTTGATTTCTGAGTGGACAGGAAGGTGATGGTTTCACTTTTGTTACTTTAGCCTGGTAGTCTATATTTCTTTTAATTCAATCCCAACCTTGTGGTAATTAGGATTATTTTACCGGTAAGGAGGCACAGGGGAAAGTTTTTTAGATGCGTTTTTTTGTAGTCCATTTTCTGAACATTGTAGTTTCAACACGTCAAACCCACGTCATTAACCTCCGCCGGCTCGTCGTATTTAATGACGTGGCCTAGTGGAAAATGTGGTTGAATTGTCAGAGCAACGAGATCGCCTTTCCATAAGTCCTTTATGAATTCTCCTAACATCTTTCCTTGACCTCATGACGTTTTCCCCGGGGTTAAGGTGAAGTGGATAGTGAAAGAGGATAGGAGGGACAATTCGAACGCACCCGCCTGTCCAACAGGAAGCAGACCAACTCTGCATCCGCGAGTAAAAGCCAACACAAGGTTCACCCTCGTTTTAGAACAAGCTTTATCTGCTTGGTGTTTCACCTCACTATGATTTTAATTTCTCTTCTTTTTCGCTACGTCTACGTCTGTCACATGCCAGTTTGAATGTCGTCAAATCACCGAATTGTATCCACTCCTAAACTCACCTGCTGCTCTGTCATTGGCTGGAGGAAACTCACCAGCTCCCCGCCCAGAAGCGTCCCGAGTCAACCAAAACATAACAGTGAAATCCAGTCAGAGGACAGAGTCTCTGCAGACACAGTCACCACCACACATGTACGGAGGCCCAGAAGGGACGATTTAGCTGCTTTACTTTTGTTTAAGTCTGAATTTTATTCCTTCAGGAAATAGCTTCTGACTCCTTCCTTTAAGACCTCTCTAGTCGTGTGTTTATTTTGGGTGCAGTTCAGTCGTGACTCGACTTTGTTGAAATCATTCACACACTCCTCCTACCTTTAGCAAACCTGTTTACACAGCGACATCTGAAGCGCCGCTCGGCTGTGTTTGTGTCGTACCCTGGAACAAATATTAGTCAAATTAGCCGACAAGAGGTTTGTGTTTGTGTACCGACTGTTTGTTTGGTTTTCTGTGTGTTTCACGAGGGATGATCATAGACACTTTTGTCCTCCTGACTTGGTTTAACTCAAAGAGCACTGTTTACGACTGTTAGTTGGATTATAAATGGTATGAAATAAATTGTCCTCGGATGAAGAGAATCCAAAAGTTTCCTCTTTTCAAATGTGATGTTGCTACATTTTATCATCAGAACTAGATTCTTTTCACTCAAGTTGTCTTTCCTCAAGCTGTCCTTGAAAACAAACCCTCCACTTGTATCAGTCATTGTTTATTTGGTCCATCTGGCCTAGGTGTACCTCTCAGCTGAGGTCAAGTTGCTTTAATCACTTCTGGATCAAGCTAATTGTTCAGCTGTGTGACACCCACATGAACGGTCTGCATAGGTGGTGCAAAAGGTTTGGAATGTGTTGAGAAAGCAATGGCAACACCGGCCTGTTAAACAAGTACTTGTATTTATTCTCCTGATCTGCCTCAACTCTGTTTATCTTTTTGTGTTTAATTGATATATTTTCAGAAACCAAAGATATTTAGTCTTTTAAATAGATATCGCTTAAAGGAGCAGTATGTAACTCTGACACCTAGTGTTTAAAGTGGGTACTGCAGTCCAAATTCAAAACATTACAGAGCTGTCTCCCCCCGCCCTCCTCTCTAGAGTCCATGCTCTCACAGGTCACCATGTGGTGGACTCTGAAGCTTCAGTGTTTATCCAGCTCTGCATCGGTCTGTAAACCTTTCTGCGTTCTAACCTCTCTCCATTTTTCAAAAGCATCTCCAATATTGATCCTAGTTTGAGCACGTTTCTGCTCGTGGAGCTTATTAGAAACATGCAGAGGCTTTTTAGGTCGGGTACAATCACTTCTATCTGAACCACTTCTCTTACCTGCTTCCATCGCTGCAACACCTGTTGACCTGATAACTGCTCTCATATCTGACAAACTGAGGGGCGTCCTAAACGGCCGTGTGGGGGTGTCTTAAAACCGCCTACCTTCTCTGGTCCAAACAAATCCAGAGCATTCAGGACCAGAATCTAAAGTTAGAAGGAGGACATACTGGCTGCTGCATTGTTGTCAGAGAAGCCAGCACTTCAACATAGCATGTTTCCTTAATGTCTGATCAGATAGTAAGATCACTTTATCATTTCATTCAGGAGATATCTTATTGATTGCTCCTTTTTAATAGTATTTATTTAAAGTGTAGGTCCATTGAACAGTGGTTTTAGAGCTGCAGCAGTTTTAATTTCCTGAACTCATTCTGCTCAAAGTTCCAACGGATGAGCCGCCAGAACCTGAAGGCTGAACGTTCATCAATGATCACTCCACCAAGTATTATGACTCCTGCACAGGACAAGTAACACATTAAATATATTATGTAATGACTTTAGGGAGCAGGTGGACTTTTAATTATCAAGAACATTCAGTCGTCACGTTCATGCTTCAGCTGAGCACAAAGCCGTGAACACTCCCCATCAGTGACATTAAGTTTATTTTAAGAACGGCACATGCTGAGAAAAACAACTTGTTTCTTTCCCCCCCAATAAGTCGTCATTTTAATCTTAAGCTATTTTTTTTCCTTAACTAAGGCTGTCAAATGAAGTGTTTTCATTACAATTATTGAATTTCTATAGTTAATGGTGATTATTTGCATTTTAATACAGTTTTGCTTTTATTCTTTACTTATTCGGTCATGACTTTGCTTTAAAGGTGACATATTCTCCTCCTCTTCAACAGTTTAAATAAGTCTCAGAGCTCACTAAAAAGTGTCTGTGAAGGTTCTTGTTCTAAATCCACTCTGATCCTGTATTTGATCATGCTTATAAACTCCTCTATTTCAGCCCTGCTCAGAACAGGCTGTTTCTGTGTCTGTGCCTTTAAATATGTAAATGAGCTGAGTCTGACCACGCCCACTTTATCGAAGGACTTGGGTGTCTCGGTCTTTCTCGCTCCATGTCCTATTATTTACGGTGAGAAGGCAGACTCAGAGGGCAGAACAAACATCTAGCTGTGGGAGTGTCACCCACCTGGAGGAGGGGCTACTGCCCTTTGTGATGTCATGAAGGGAAAATCTCCAAACGGCCTGTTTGATCACACATTTTCTGAAAAGTGGAGCAGGCAGAAGACGGAGAGAGGATGGACTTTTCTCATCATTGGGGGCTTTGTAGACTGGCCTATGATTTTCTTTTTAAGCATTTTACAGACAACAGTTTCAGTTTTTCTTAGAGCTTGACTTTAGTGTCGCAGAAACATGCCCTGAGCGTGATGAACTGTCTGTGTTGCTCTGCGAGCTAATATTCAAAATGTCAGGGTCATGATTGATGGTGTACAAGCACACGTGTGTGCTCCCCCCCTCCCACTAACCAGAAAGCAGCAGAGGACAATTTTTCCAGTTTAAGGAGCACAGCGGCTCTCTGCTGGTAATATAAACAAGAAGAAGAAGAAGCTGGCAGCCTGTAATTAGAGCCAGTGGAAACCTGTTATTGCGCTGCTAATGACCCCAGAAGAGTCTCCTCTGTGCTGCTGGAAAACCTGCAGTCCAAACAGTTTACACATCAGCCTTTTTCACATTTCACACACAGGCTTTAAAAGTGTCTTATTCTGACTCTCTTGTTCCCATTTATCTCCCTAGAATAATATCTGAGGACACAGAAACAAACACTGCTGCACACACCCTCATGTGCTCAGTATCTTAAGTCCACCTCCTGTGTGGTTGTAACTTTATATTGGACCTCAGGAGTCGTCTAACGCGGCTCGACTTTCAGCCCTTTGTGTTCCCTCTGACGCTGCTGTTGAAAGGCGGGTCTGTGTGTGCACACTGTTTGTGTGTCTTTATTTGCTGCTTTATTGTTCTGCTGCCACGAGACAAAGCGTGCACTATTTCCCCCTGCAATCTTTTCCCCTTTCAGAGGAACGCTGTGAATCCAGTTTTATAATGTCATTTAAACCTCTGTGTTGCTCCGACACCTGGAGGCCTTAGTTTAATGTATGCTGAAGGGGATATAGCTGTGTGACCTTTGAGTAAGTGTGTGGTAACCCAGACATTCTCGTAACCGGGGTGCAGGATTAAACCTAGCAGGAGTTTGATGAGAGATTTTGAGGTTTTTGCGTAAATCCTGAAAGCGTTTCATTCAGGAATCTTTCTGCTGAGAAACATTTCAGAAGCAGCATTTTGAGACATTACAAGTAGAACTCAAACTCTGAATGATCAGAATCCTTTCTTCTTTTCCTTAGACGTG